CAGAACACGGCGGGCAGCAGCGGCTGAGGCACACCGGGAGCGTTTGCCCCCTCACGCCACACAGCCCCGGCGGGGAACCTGCTGACACGGGACTCCATGGTTGCCGGCCGCTTCCCTGCGCCTCCAGAGGGCGCTTCGCGAAGTCCATGAAATGTCCCCCTAAGCTCCTATATACAGAATTTTACATCTCCTTTGGTTTAAAGGTTTAATATCTGCAGAGGGCGGGACGCGTGTCCTGGGAGAGCAGCACCCTGCGCTGCGGCTGTCCGTACGGACTCGCTGGCCATCCCCGGGGGCCGCCGCTCCAGGCGAGGACGCCGAGCGAGGCAGAGCTAGGGGGTCTGACACTCCTGGGTGCATGTGGGTGCTATCCTGTGCTGAGCCACTACAATCGGAAAACCCCAAACTATCCCATGGAGGGCCTGCGCACTGCCTCAAGCTCTGTTAGTAGCGGGGATACAGAGCGCTCTGCATGAGAAAACCCCTCTTTCCCCAACTTCAGCTTCGTGTTTCACGATGTATAATTACATAGAGTGAAGCAATGCCGCAATTGTATGAAACCATACAACTGTATGAAATCAAACCTGCTTGATTACCAAGGAAGAATCATTTGCCCTTCAAGAACCTACTCTGAGAAGCCTTTTTTTTCTGCATTGCAGATTTAGCACCGTAATTGCATCTTCTCATGCCTCAACCTTCAGCTGAAATACAGTGCTGTCGGGAATGCCCTTTCCCGGCCTTGCTGCAGTTGAAGTGCACTTAGTTCTTGGCATTACAATGCTTTTGCACTGGTGCCAAACCTCATGATGAACAACATGTGTCAAACACGACAAATCAGTGCTCAATTCAGTATGAAAATAACAAGGATCATATCTCAAAGCACTACACTTCTCAATCTGATGAGCTGTCCCAGAAAGAAACTAAAAATGCAATGGTGAGAAAGTATTTATAGGTATAGCCTTTAGCTGTGCAGAATATTAAAAATAGCACTTAGAAAGCACAGTCATGGACAAATAGGTACTTTAACAGAGGAAACTGGATGCATTATTTAACAAATGGTTTTCAAACATCAAGCAGTGCTATCACAGAGTAACACATAAAAATACACTACTACCACTGCAAGACAGATTTCCATTCATTCTTCTTGCAATCTTATGACGGTATACAGTATTTTATTCTGATTTTCATACACTCAGTTGTATTGAGATACTAGTAAAAAGGATTATAATTAACTGAGAAATTATTATTCCTGATTTCTGCTGGGTGGGCTGCTTTCTGGTATGTCTGAATCTAAGCGTCAGGGATATTTTCTGTAACAATACACTTTACAACAGAAAGGCCATACTTAAGGATTGGCATTTGAGTTACCTACCCATCAAAGCTACATGACTGCTCAGAGCAAGCACAGCTGGTCTCTTCAGTGTTGAGTAATTCATGAAGAAATGAAAACTTGAGGGAACGAGAAATGGCAACTTGCTGCTTTAGGATGAAGATGTTTCATTAGAAACAAACACATTGCTTCCTCCTAACTGAATAGAGCAACTCTTGCATGTATTGCATTGTATAACAAAGTAGTTTATCAAAAGTCATTGTTGAACAGTTTTGTTTAAGCCAGAAAGAAAAGAGGGCTGTTAATTTAGCTGTTTAAAAGCATTCATCAGAAAAATGTATTCTACCTCTTCAACCAGTAATACAAGGGTACATAAATCTAAAATACATAGGTATTTTACTTAGGTAAATGCTTTAGGTTATGTATTTTATTTATGTAGGTACATACATCTTACTAAAGTGATGACACACAAAATTAGGCCTCAGTAGGCAACTCTGGAGACAATCATATTTTCCTTTTTTCCAAGACTATCACAGTCCAGTCCTTACCATTTTCATAATAGAACTAATGAAGTTATTAATTACATTCTTGCACCTCTAACACTAAGCATCTACCTTTTTACTCTGAAAAATCTGGGCCAAGTCCTCAGGTAAAAATTCAATTAGATTTGCACATAACTAGTATGCCATTTGCTCAAATTGTTTATTTTACATGATCTTTATCCAAGGTCCAGTGAGCAAGACCCCCACATACTTCAATTTATACTTTTTTAAAAACTTATTTAGCTTCCTTAATGATTGATTTATACTTTAATTCCTCTTTATTTCATCCCTATCACAAAATGAGAGATAATCCTCCAACTTCAGACATTATAGCAGCAGTTGATGTAACTCAAGTGGACAGTATCACTTTACTCTCAAGCACAGGCTAAGGATGTTCAAAACCGGAGGCTTATGGGGAAGTAGTTTCTTACTTGAGACTCAGGTCATGCAAGGACCTGCTAATTCTTATCAGGCCATTTCGTAATGGTCTTCAGTCTTAATTGAAACTGTCAAATAAGATTAGATTTCACATGTTAGGCACAGAAGGCACACGGTGATCAAACATTCTGTGAGCTAGAAGGGAGGGAATTTTTACATGAAAATACTCTTGGTGCTCTCAGGAAAATGTAATACTACTACTAGACAAACAAACAAAATCCCAAAACTTTTCACAGTTGGGCTTTCTGAAAATAAAGCTCAGTCTATTTTTACACTGACAGAAGCAGTCAGCCTCTTCCATGAATTGGCCACATTGCAAAGAAGAAAGCAAGAATAAAATTTAGATTTTCATCATTTTTTCTTCTTTTGAAAGAGAGCATTTTGGGCAGGTTGTTCAATACATGTATGTCTTTTCTATGTAGAACATTTTGGGATACTGGAGAGGTTTTATGTTGAGCTATTGAATAAAAAAAACAACTTAAGTTATTTTGTACCAAGGGTAGATCACATTTTCAGTAAAGATCAGAAACAATTGTCTTGTCACAGGAACTTTGAAGATCAGATTACTCAGTGTTTATGCAATGTTCTTTGTTTTCAGCAGTTGCATTCAAAAGTAATTTCTTTTTTTTTAATTTACTCTAGGTATTTGATTTAGACTTAAGTCACCTTTTTCCACTAAAAGCACTCTCAACTCAGTCTAACTGTTCTTTTCCCACTGCAAATAAGGCACATGAGAGAAGGATGCAGTCAGTAACATTTCCTGTCAGTCCAATCCAACCAGTCATGCTCATTGCTCTATTTGCAGATGGTACTTGACCTACACTGGCATGGCCTTTCCTCCCTCAGAGATTTCTATTACAAAAAGACAAGACTTGCATCCTTCAAGGTTTGATATTCATAATTCATCCTTGAAAGATTCCAAGGATCCTCCAAGGATCTCCATTGTTATCAACATGACATCCAGACAAATGAGCATGAGTGAAGGAAGAGTTTACAAATGTGACCAATATTTTAAACTCTTACAAGCGTTTTAAGCTCCAGGGGCACACTGTCCCATGTATTTACTGCTACAGAGTCTCAGAGAACCCATTTATTTGCAACAAAAACCAGATAGCAATTCTCACCCTGGTGCACTTCATTGAGATTGAAGATATATTGGCAGCTATAGTCAGTAAAAGAAAAAGGCATTGAAAAATATTACAAGGTGACGACAGAAAAATACTTCTTTTTTAATTTTAAGCACAGCCCAAAAAGCAACCTTTCCCACTTGGAAAAAAATAGGAATTACGAATGAAGCAGAATATATTTGCATTTCAAGTGACAAACACAAAGTTTAAAAATCAAAACATTTTAATCAGTAATTGTGAGACATCCCCTCGCTCATTTATCTTGGACTAGCAGCTAGTCTACAGCTGAATGCCAGTTTAACATGTTCTTCAAGTTTTCGAGGGTAACTGCCCTTATTCTGTAACTCCAGAAACATGAACATAACACTAAATAAAATCTTGAAAGGTACTATTTGAAAGCCATGTTCTGCCAGGCTGTACTATGCAAATAAATTATTATATGGAGTTACAGAAAGCTAGCACACTGGAAATGCTGCCTCATTCCACAGTTTATCCAGACTTACATATTTAAACTCTTAGGCTACACAAGTAATTAAGTAAAACCAATCATGATTATGTGATAAATTAATAATTTTGTTTAAAGTTGCCTGCAGATTAAGCTATTGGACCATGCATTTTTGTAATAAATATGCAATCTCAAAAATACAACTCATTTAAAACTGCATTTCCACTTAATGATGTCTTTTTATCCAGATAAAAATAAATGTATGTTCAAAAACAAAACCAAGTATCTAACTAAATGGTTTGCAGAATTTATTAGGTCTCTTTTAATATACTCCATACTTTATCAAGCTAGTTGCATATAAAGTGATCTCCACCATATACATTACAGTTTCTGTGCATCATCTAAAAAAAAAGTCACCAAAAAGTTAATACTTTATAGGGTGCAGTTAACTTTTAATTAACCTAAAGGTGAATCCTTCTGTAATTTAAGACTCTAACCTGCACATTGCATCTATCTGCAGTATTTAAATTATGTTCCACAGCAAGCTAAATCTGCATTTCAGGGAAAAATGTCACTGCCATCTAAACTTCTGAACTTTTACTTCTTTAACACCTCAAAAAATTAATGTGGTGTTCACTCCAAATAAGGAAAAAGTAAACAATTCCCTTAAAACAAAGCCTGCTCAGAATATGTATGCTTTAAAAAAATTAGGAAACTCCTCCAGTAAAAGGAATTCACCCCAGTAAAAGGAATTCACCCCAAGGTATTACTGGGAAAAAAAATCTTTTAAGTTCTTCTTGATTAATGCTTGGTGCTGCTCATAAAAAGCAAAACCAGCAAAAATTGAACTAGTATTGGATATGACTTAAAGCAAAGAAAGAAATAAATTATACCTGCAACAAGTATGTCCCAATTTAGAACAATCTTTTAAAGGGCATCACGCAGATAATTAAGAAATAGGTTTTCTGGTATTTTCACAGAATGCTCATTTACTGGCCAGGCACATATATTGTAAATATACAAAGAATCCAGAGTGCTGAAGTTTACAGAGCACTTAAAGGATTTAATATAACAGAGGTGGGTAGGACACAAGAAAAATATTTAACAACTTGTATAAATATATTAAAATCTCAGCAAGAAATGTAGGAGCCCATGCACACAAGACAGTAAATCGAAGAAAACATTTAAGACTTGACTTCTTCCAACAGCACTGACACCTGAATTCTGGAAAGTCAACAATTTACAGTATCTTATAACCATCTTTCTCCAAACAATCTAAATGTACTGAATCATACCGACATTACATAGCATGTGAACAAGCAGCAGATGCATCAAGGGAACAGGAGCTATATGCATCATGTGGCCTGCCCATTTAGATGCAAACATCAGAAAAATTGTTTCTGACATAGGCAGAGATACAATCAATTGAGCTAATTGTATACCCATAATTTTCAAGAGTTTATCCACGGTATGAGAAAGGGCAGCTTTAGGTAAAAATTATGCACCCAGTCTCAGAAATGACAGAAGCAGAGGTTTGTCTTTCAAAAACTGGGCCCATTCTGGACTGGCCTTGATGCACATGCAGTACATTTATTTTCCGAATGCAAGATTAATTGGGAATGTCTGCACTCGTGTTCCGATTGCCGTATTTGTGATGAATGAACAGCAATACCACTCCTAAGAAGAAGCATATGGACCCAACAGTGATGTAAGCAATTCCCAGGAAGGGATTTTTGCCTCCCATCCACGAGATGGTGCTTAGGATCATCCTTTTTCGTCCATCAAAACTGTGTACAGGATAATCTGAAAAGCATTTAGGAAAACAAGAAGCAAGTTTCCAAACCCAGCTTGAAAAGGTCACATGAAAAATTTTGGGTAATTTCATTCAGGTTCCAAATACTAACTGCTGCCTTTGGAACTTGAATTGCAAATATGAAACATTCAGCTGTTCTTTTTGGCTAAAACTAATCAGGGCATTGTCGGCTACTTCAAAACAAAAGCCATGTTAGGAGACACTAATCCTGAAGAAGAGTAAAATGCATGATTTTGTGGGATTATGAAAGTAGCTTTGATAAAGTGAGGGAAATAAAAGTATCAGTCCTTGTGTCTATTTTACTACAGAATTTTTCTTTATGTTCATTCTGTTTTATATGTACTCCCCAGTTTTACAGCAAAGGAAAACACTGCAGTAGCTATATAAAAAGTATCATTACGTGCTTTTGAATTTTAAGAATTCAGTAACTATGACAATCTTCCTTCTCTAGTCTCCTGTACTTCTACCCAATATTTAGTCTCCCCAAAGACGAATAACAGACCTTCACCTGACCTACAGCTCTGTCATTTTTGTGACCTTTAGAGTCAGTCTGCCTTTCATTACATAATGTCATTTCACCTTGAAGTTACAGCTCATAAATTCCTTGGCTACCTCTGTTCTTACCTTTTTTCCTATGCTTTTCTCAATTCCTTCACAGCACCCAACCAATCTCATTTCCCTGTCTCTATGAAGCTATTAATGCTATAAAACTAGCACAGAAGTAAAAGATGGGAAGAATCTATCTAGGTCTCAGTGCCAGCTTTCAACCACAGCTCAATACCATCGTTTTTTAGAGATGGTAAGAAGAAAGGCTAGTTCAATCTGATAGCTTGCAAATCTATGCTTCTGTAATTCAGCTAAGGCCTGCTTTCAAAGGATACTGTATGCAATATCCAAAGAGTATTTTCCAGCCTGTAAGGTAGGCTGAAAGTTATTCTTCCTTTCAATGAGACGATAGAGCTTGCGAAATGTTGGCAGAGCAGCTGTGCGCATCCACACTATGAAGTCCTCATTGATAAAGCCGTTGTTGTCAGGCTCCGAGTCCAGCATATACACTGGCTTGGGCCAGTTCACAGGTTTTGTTGTGCCTAGGATTAAACAAAAATAATAAAGTATTTCAAATACAGGACTGAGTAACACACTGGCTCATCAAAATCCATTCTAATATCACAAAAAAACACATTAACTTTTAAACAGTACAAACAGGCTGACTCAATACTATTGCAACACACTGTGCTGTTTATAAACTTTTCATTTTGCAGTTCAAATAGTTTGAATTCTATAAATAAATAACAATTCATAACAGCACTGTCCATTTGTTTAAACAATTCATGCAGGTAGAAAGTCATGTCTCAAAGCACTGCTTGGTATGTAATTCTCCATTATGATGATAGGTTCTCTGCTCACTTGGTAGAATTTGAGAACCATTTCCTGAACCACGAGCAAGTAATATTGTAAACATCATTTCAGATTATGTCCAAACACTTTTGCTACTGTTGTTGGAAATACAATTCCACATTGTATTAGGGTAAGGGATCTGCTTTTCCAAGGGTAGCCATCACACTGTAACTTGGCTGTGACTAAGCAAGAAACCCACCGCAGGTTAAGCCTGAACTTATTATATATCTTGCATAAACACACATGTTCTTAGAGCCCTAAGAAGATTTTTTAGACATAATAGCCAAAGGAAACTTTTATTTGCCAAATTGTAGATAACCTAAAAAATGAGACATCAGTCACTTCTACTAACAAGAAAAAAAATAATCAATTTTTTTTGAGAACAGCACAACCTAGCCACAGAAACATTTAAATGAAAACTCTGTATGAAGAGTTTCATTTAACAACTGCACGATTTCTTTGTAAGTTAAATCCAAGCACGACAGAACTTGTACTGGTCTTGACTGCAATAAAATTAAATTTCTTTACAGTGGCTGGTATGGGACAATGCTTTGGATCTGTGCTGGGCACAGTGTTGATGAAGAGTGATGTTTCTGTAATTGCTAAGCAGTATTTGCCAGCATTAAAGCCTCTTCTGCTCCTCACCTCACCCCACCTGTGAGGATACTGGGGGTCCAGGAGAGACTGGAAGGGGACACAGATGGACACATTTATTTAGCACATTCAGTAAAATGTGAGTGAGGCAAAACTCTGAAATCAAACCGTGTGTACAATCAAAAGGTGTTTGAAGCATTTTGCCATTTTTAAAATTTCACTTTTTTCTTTTTTTTACCTTGGAAAAGTGCAGTTAAGTTGTTTCCATCTCCTGTAGGATTCCTGAACTTTACATTTTTATCTGTCCACCATGCAATGCCTTTTTTGATCAAAGTAATCGGAGTCCTTGTGTCATTATCAATGCGGTACAACTCCAGTGTATCTAAAGACAAAATCAAATTAGAAGACCAGCTGCAGAAACTTTCATTAGACAGATGGTCTTGATAAGCACTGAAACAATTATCTCCAGGAGAAAACAAAACAAAAATAACCGGGCAAGGCATTTACTATCTGCCTGACACAATCACAAGTGGTTCTGTAAGAATCAGTGTATATGAGATAGCAGTTTATTTTACATATATGATATCTATGTTTCTACATCACACCAGTACCAGATTCTCACAACAGGTATTTCCATCCTTTGTGTGCTATGAGATTAAATTCATTCTCCTAGCAATTTTGAAACAAGTACAAGCAGTACAAGACATTTATTTTATTCTGAACAATGAAAATGTGTCAATTCAAAACAAAAACCCCCATGGTATCTTTATTTGGAATAATGTGCAACACAACAGAAAACATACACTAGATCACAGACCCATATAAATGATAACTTAGAATTGTTACCATACCATTAAACATACTGTTGGCAATAGCTCCACAAGGAGCAATGGGTTTGTCCTCATTTGTGCGGTAAGGCTCACATTCCTTACTCGGATTCTGACAGTCAGAAAGAAAAAAGGCAAATGAGTCTGTGCTAGTTTATACAGCTAACCTGGTTTTTACTGTATGATCAACATGAAATTTTATATTACTTTATAATTATTTTCAGTAACAAATTCACAAAATATCAATTCCTTAGGTTGCCTTCTGTTATGCAAAAATTCTAGTACCTCTTTACAAACTGACTTAATACTCTATGTGGTGATTTATGCAGTAGTCAGAAATGAGTAGCTCATTCACATCCAAGCATGAATACCTACAAGTAGTGAACTGTTGTCTCCATTTAGCTGGCTGTCATCTCGAGATTTCACGTAACGACGGTGGTTTTGATAGAAGTTGGAAAGTCCGTAGTACATGAATACATTGCTCTACATGAAGCAAGATGGGGAGAGATTTTCATTCACACGAACCTTTAAGAGCAATTTTAATCCCTTAAACTCTATGTTTACAGCAACACTCAAAACATAAGAATGTCAATCCTTTCTTCATACTGAGTACATAAAAGTACTATCCTAACAAGGCTGAAGTCAAACAATACATCTGTGCCAACAACGACCAGAATGATATTCAACAGCACTAATCCAAATACCTATCTTGACCAATGTAGAACCCGCAAGACTCATTTGCCTCCAATCTGCCAGAAAGCACTTATCTGGTATTTCCAATTCCTGTTGAACCAAGATTTTGTGAATCATGCAGGAATAGCTGATCTACTCTCCAGCTATGTGATACATAGGTAATTCTGAATGTGTAAAACACAAGCATTCCACTTAATGTTGCACATTTCCGGATAAAAAGTGGCGTTAAGAAACATCTCATCCCTGCTAATGAAAAAGGGGACACAAAAATCAGATCCAAGTTCAAAAGAAAACTAAAAATAATCCTCTAAAATAGAAAAAAAAAAAAACTTAAGGGACAAAGCTTTCATTCTCAATATGAAATAGATCATATAAACCATTCCGACTTCATCCTGCATTCAGGGCAGCATACCTCAAATGAATGTTCCAGTGTGAAGTTGATGGTGCATGTACAAGGGGGTGTGCTGTCCCAGGACACATTTAAGCATTTGTTGCAGGGACTAGAAGGTTCTGTTCCCGTGTAGTCAATCTGTAACAGGAAAAATTGTCATTAACTTACAATGGGAGAGTTAAGAAAAATTATTATTAAGCCAAAGAGATGTTATGACATTTATTTTGAAATTACATCTCAACACCAAGAGCACATTCAGGCCTATCTGACAATCTCAAGAAGCCTTAACCGTTCTATGATTCTGTAAACCAGTTTTTGCTTCTGACTATATGCTTGATTTCAGATGCAAACAAATTTAACAGAGGTGAAATTACTCCTGGAGCAAAACCAAACAAAACCAACAAGCCCCTACAATGGCCCAGACTCCACCCCAAACCAACCAACCAAGAAAACACACCGAAACAAAACCAGCAGACACTCCAGACAATATGATGTTTCCAACCACACTTTGACATGCAGATCTCAGTTTTCATATGCTTTCCAGAGAGATTAAACTTTTAAAAGTCTAGGTATTAAAAAAATGCATTTATTTGCATTAGAAAACTTGCTTTGTTGACCATTTTTAGCCACCTAATTAGAAGATTAAAAAAAAAAAAAATCACTTAATGCCTGAATTGTCCTAAAACAGGAAAGATTAATGCACCAATACTGTTTTGTCAGGAATGGTAAAATAACCCGTATATGGACAAGAAAGATAATCACAGTCCACACCAATTTGAGGAACTTGACCACTTCAGCTCTTTTTCACATGTAGCTGCAGGAGTGTGGCAGAAGAAAGCTTCCATCTGCCTATAAAAGATGTAGTTCCACAATTACAAATTACCTATTTTAGAATTTAGAATCAGATTGGTGAAATATATACCTTATACTTATTGCAAAAAAAAAAGGTTTAGCAGTAGTAGCATTTACAGTACATCTATACAGTTATATGAAAGGATGCTGCAAGTGGTTTGTCCTGATTTACATCTGTAGTAAAAGGAATAAACAAGAATTAATGATTTATGATCAGTCCTAATAACTTATTTAAGGTTAGTTAAAATAAACACACAAGGTGTGTCCAGGAAAGAACTGAAGCCTATTTTCCTCTGTATCTTCTTCAGGGTCTCTCTTCCTGTGATTTCTCAAGTATCTAATAAGCTGCAACCAGTCCCCTCAGCAAGCACTTTTATTGATTGGCATTTGCTCTGCTGCCAGATTTCTGACAGACAAAACCTACACGCTAATGAGCCTAGCTGAAACTAGACAGCATCAGAAGCTCTTAGCTGGCAGAGAGAGAGGGAGATTGAGAGAGGATCACAATCTTTGTTCTTCAGCTGAACAAGATATTAAGTTTATGCTGAGCTAGAAATAGCACTGCTGCGGCAGCCATCTCTGTTTAGCTACAGCGGACAGACCCACTGCTGCTCTCAATGAACAATGCAGATCATTTGCTGAAGGCTAACTCAGGGGTGGGTGTGTTCTGCTAAAGTAAGCATTTCCTTTAGAAAGAACCTGCCAGTGTGAGAAGTTTTAGAGAAGAGTGCAGGCTAAAGACTAAGGTTGCAAAAGACCTAAAGACTCCACTTTAAAAAACGTAATTGACAAAATTCTGTGAAGCATGAAATTGATGTACATTGATGCAGGACCACGCTTTGATGCACTGTTATCAGCTGTTATCAGCTTGCATGCTATCCTGTTACAGCTTTCCTGTACAGTTACACAAGTGATTTTTTTCCTGCATCCACATTTACAGATTACGTTCAAGAGAGAGCTCATTTAAAAGGATGAAGACTTCTACATTCATCTTCAACTCTTGACAAAGTAACACGGTAACTGGAAAAGCCAAGGACTTACTATGGAGCCCACAGCAAGAACCAACCTGACCCCACAGTTCTGTCCCCTGGGATCAGCCAACATCTGACAACCTGACACAGTGAGCCCTTCCAGATTTAAGGACATTGGGTATATCCAAATTATTCCACACTAATACTTTTTCTGGCTGTTGATGTCTGTCAGTTGACATACACCTACAGAAATAACATAACTACTGCATACACATATTCTCCAAGATATTTATGATTTTGCAGACTTCATACCTTGTCACATTTTTATCCTACTCTGCTTGACCATTTCTTGTATAAAAGGCAATCCATAAATCTGGTCCTCTTTGCTGTTCCTCTCTGTAGATTTTACTAATTTTTCTATCATTTCTGACATGGGACTACAGGAACTGTAGTAATGATGGAGGCAACAGGAATGCACTTACTTTCAGTTCTCCATTCCTAGCCACGCCTTAAGTCGATCTGATTTTTTACCTACCATTATGCATTTCACTGCAGCAGTCACAGCACAAAGATCTCTTTCCTACACATTTAATACTGTGTATATTCCTCACATTTTATCATATATTAATATACTCTGTCAATGCTTCTTATTCACTCTGTATATATAAAAAAAAAACAAACACAAAAAAAAACCAACCTCCAGGAAACACAGAACTCTCTCAGCCTTTAGTAACAGGCAAAAAGAAATTTACACAGCTGATTAATTTTCCACCCAAATGAACTATTTTCATGACAGACCCAAGATAAATGACTGATTAAACCCTTTCGAAACAATGAAAAATTGCTAGAGAAAACACAACAAAACCCCAATAATTCTAGCATACTTAAGTTTTGTTTTAAAAAAACTTTTGGAAATCTTCCACATTTGAATTCAAGACATCTTATAAAGGAAATCAATGGAAGAGGTACATTTTGCTGCTTACAAACAGTTCTTGCACCTGTAAAAGAACAGCACAGTCCACAGAAATACTAATGGCTACCATACCTCATTTCAGGAGTGACTTGAATATGTATTTAGGGTCACAAATTATACATCCTCTTCAATTCCAATACACTAAGTCATACACACACATTTAAGAGACACTGCCTAGGAGGTAGAGGTAAATAACCACCTGTGCTTCCTCCCCCGCTTACATTTCTAAAAAAGCTTAGTCACTGCATATAGCTTTTGGATGTCTAGTCTCCTACAACTAAACTTACAGCTGTTTGTGAGTAACTTTTGGAGGTTACAACAAAAGCCAGCATTCTAAGCAGGAACATATGTCATCTAAGCATATATGTGATACCAGTGTCTCACACTGCACCCCTCAGTGGTGTGTTTAGAGCACAGATGTTGGTCCTAATTGGTAAAATGCTTTATCTGTGTTCTGCAGCTGCAACTATAAAGCCTTTTTTGATTTAAACTTGCTTTTTTTCGAGATTGAGCTGCCTTTAGGATGATAATCTCACTTGCAGAATGTCACTGGATAAGCACTTCATAAAACATGTATAAGGATTAGGCAACAGAACACAAGATTCCCCCTTCTGACTTACCACAGACTCCAAAGTCCCTCCTATCCTCACAAAAAGCCTAACAATTTTTGAGAATTTCAAAAGGTGAAAGAGTAAATCCATACAACAAAACAAACAAATTAAACTATTTCCAGTGCTGAATATCTTGAAATGAGAGAGGGTTGAAGGCCTGTGCCTGCCAACTGGTCTCCAATACAAATGGTTACTGCTGCTGTATATACACAACCTGACTGTGTAGGGGAGTGTGGGCTGTGCTTCCAGCTAACCAACAACTTTTGTGCCAAATGTTAGGTGGGCACAGCTGGTTTTTGGGTTCTACTGGAACTTACCAGGAGTACTTGACTGAGCTGCTTAAGCAACAACAGTACATAAAAATCCTGTATATACATACAGCAGCAATACCAGCAAAAGAAGACACGTACATTTTTGGACTCATGAAACATGCATTTCTTGCTCCCATAGATCAATGCAGATTCAGTCATAATGGAAAAAGGATATATTTGTCCAATAATGATCTAAAACTTTGTACTGCTTCACTATAGAAATGGCTATTTTAAATGCAGTTGCCAACAAAAATCAGAATTAGCAAGGATTTTTTTTTTACTTCTCTCCGTGGAGTGTTGAAAATGTGCAATTGTATTTACCTTAAATATGCTACAACATGACAATTAAAAAATCTATGTGCACATGACAAGTTGGCCATGTTCTCTGAAGCACTTGTGCCAGTTTTCAGATATTCAGTGTAACTCCAACACTCCATATAAAAAACAACTATTTTCTAAAAAATATTCTGCTTTTCTCCTTGACTTTAACTGTAGATCTTAACATAAAAGGAAGTAAAACTGCTTTCATTATAACCTTATTTGCATTTTAACAGAAATATGGAAATACCATTAATTTCCTAGCTCATGATTTCTTTACTAATTTGGCTTCATGACAACTTACTGCCACCAGCCAAGCTATTGTCTTAAACACTACTGATTTGAACGTGGCAACTTAGTCCAGTAACTGGAGTGATTTCATCCACAAAGATTCATATCCTCCAATAAAACAACAACAAACAACCACACACCTTCTTCCCCACAATCAATCTCAGTCCTATTAGCTCACCGAAACTAATAATAGCTGTCAATTGCTTCTCAAGGCTGTCCGTCCCTAAGCCCTGCAGGTTATTTCCTTACAACACAAACCGGTTCTGTTATCAAATGGATACATCTGTGATACAGATGATTTCTGTATCTGTGTACAGATAAAGAAAACTGAAACGGTTCCGTTTTCAGCTAACACTCAGCAACTTTTCACAGCAGGAGAATGACTGATTATCAGATGTAAATGACTTGAGTTTTTTAAGTATTAACTAGAATAAACCATACTCTTCAACCTTGTTTCCAAGTTTACTCTGGACACCCTGGTCTCCCACACAGCACCTGCGACATTAAATTATCGGCGCAGGTAAGAATTACAGCAACATATTCACCACAGAGCTTTGTCCTGAAAATACAATTACTCTGGAACATTTGAAGATAAATAATGGACTGTCACAGGCTATCCCACGGATGATGCGCACACCTTCCGTACTGCTGAGGGGAAAAAACGTGCACTGGGCTGTGTCGGTTAAATGCTAGCAGTAACTTCCCTGGAAGTTCCTGGAAGAACTCAGAGAAGGGCTGCAGCCTATGCGGAGATGACTGTCAGCTCGGTGTCTGCTCAGGGTAATTAATGAGCGCTTTGCTGACAAGCACAGACGTTAGGCCG